CACCAACATTAAGATCTATTGTTTATTTCAAATGTATTTACCAAATTTAAAATAAATCCACACACTAAATATCTCCTAAAACACTTTTCTGTGAAAAGGTTAAAAATGTTAATGGAGAAAGCATGAAAATGTACCAAGGTTCCAATCACCTGTCTACCACTAACCAACCTGTTTTCTTGGGCAAGTCACTAAATCAGTATTAATCCATTCTTTCAGGAATGATCACATTTCAAAAACATAATCCTCCAACAAAGCAAGTAACACCTTGTCTGACAGCAGGAGCAGAACAAAGGCTTTGGAAGCTAAATGACCTGCCCATGACCAGTGAAAAGCTAAAGGGGAAGGAGGAACCCACGATCTCCTGACACCAAGGTTAGTGCTTCTTCCTCCATGTTATGTTTCTCGGTGGCTTTTGTTCATTGACCCTGCTGAGATTCCGAAGCACTTACAATTTTATATGTAATCTTAGGGAGTTCACAGTCACAAGGCTTAGAATCAAACAGTAATAACTGTCAGCTAAATCTCATGTGCAAATAGCAGTATTCAAAAAAACAAAAAATTACTAGCCTTATTTCATTCTCAGATAGGCCTTGTACTTAATAATCCTGACTTACCATCCATAATGGCATTTTACTTGTTAAAGATAACTGAGATCAAAGCACTACAGGTGACATTCCTGAGATTAAATGAAAATGAAAGCTAGCAAAGAAATGTTTTAGGTATTACTGGTAAGTAATTTCATTTAAAAATCATTCATGTAGCATCTTTCGGTATTTCAAACATCTCATGTCTGGGACACAGGATATGAGTTTGTAGACAACACAATTTCTAGTTACTGAAATTTTCCTTATCAGAAAAGGAAGCTGTCTCCTGCTCTCCTTTCTGTGGTCAGAAAGGTCCACTGACAGCGTCCTGTGAAGGCTGCTGTCTATCAACACTGCAGGAAACACTCTGTGGCTCCAAAAATGTGGGCGGGCAGTCACAGAGCAAAGCAACCAGTCCTCCCACAGGTGGGACAGCCACAGGCCACTGGATGCAGAGTCCCAAGCTGGAGCCTGGAGACAGGCAGGCCTGGCTCTGCCACCCGGGTCACTTTGAGAAACCCATGTTAAAGCCTTGCACTTGAGTTTCCACCACCTGTGTAAAATGAATGGAGTAATGGACCTCAAGGCCAGTCCCACTCAGGTTCAAAATGTCTATGAATCTGTAACCAGAGACAGAATGATATCACCTCAGAAAAGTATCAGAGCATTTACAGGCAACTGTCAAATCTGTTTGAAATTTTCCACACACACACACACACACACACACACACACACACACACACACACACACACACGAACACACTATGTGCCAGACATGGGGTGGTAGACTGGAACCAAGATATTAAGACAGCAAGCATCTAGCATGTGCCAGACCTGGTATAAAGAAAGGGGTGAAACAGTGTCCTATGGAACAGCAGCTGGGCTGGGAGGTGTGGGGTCCACATAAGTGTCCTAAGATGGCAAAGGTGCAGGAGACCGAGGCTCCAGGATGACAGGACTTCACAAAACATGGTGCTATGGGGACAAAGTCACAATTCTCGTCTTTGTAGCCCCTACAGCTAGCTCAGCTCTTCGTAACCACCGGAGGTACCTAATAACCACGGTAGGTACCGTATTTGATGGTTTACTGGTTACTAATTCATCCGCACTCTGGTAACACACTCTCCTGTAAACACTACGAGTCCTTGCCCTTAAAGAGTGAGTTCACAGCTGGAGAGAAAGAAAACACTGTACAGGATAATGGGCCAGACGCTGTGTCCAAGGTGCTTGCAGGTCACTCAGAAAGCCGGGTAGAAAGCCTTCAGAGAATAATACCCACGTGCCTCCTGTGTGCAGGGCATTGTAGACTTTACCCTTACAACTAACTCTGAATTGGTTTCCTGTCCCGTTTCACAGATGACAGAATTGCAGCTCACCAAAATGAAGTCACCTGGCAAGGGCCACACAACTAGAGTAAACCAGCATTAAAAGGGGCAGGGTCTAATCCCAAAGCTACTTGCACTGAACATACCACGATGTCTCTCATTTGTCCATTTCTTCTTTATGTTTGCAGTGGGGACTAGCACACTCAGTCAAGGGCTCTGCTGTCCTGAATCGTCCCAACTGTCATGGGGAAGAAATGAGCAACTACAGCTTTACCCAAGTATTTTACTTGAAAAATCACTAGTGAAAATGTGTCTTCACTCATAAAAATCAATAAACCAATTTTAACAGCTTCATATGTACTTAACATTTCCACATTTTAACCTATACAAGTATAGGTCTAAATAAGTGCAACATAACAGAAAAACAGAACCAGTAAACACTGTAAAAATGGACATCTGTAAGTATTATTTTAAGTGCCTGAGTTGAGAAATTCAGGTATGGTCCACAGTTCTGGAGTATTCCACTGCATATTGAGAGAAAACAGCAAATGATTCCAGATTTTTTTCAGGGGAGAGATGATGGGTCATTTAGAAATGACATAAAAGTTGAAAAAATACAACTGATTAAATAGTACACACCAAAGACACCGCAGGTGCTCAAGAAATCTCGTTTAATGGACTGGACAAGTGGGATGAGAGTGTGTCTTCCTCACATTTCTGACTAGTTTTAAGTGCACCTACCTAAGAAGCTATTTTTTAAGTCATTTAAAAAAATAGTGTAGAATTTGACACAAAATAAAAGCCGCTTATAAAACCTCTGAAAAGGAATCAAAGCACTATGATTTGTAACACTGTATAAAAGGAAACTCCTCAGGATTGCCCCCCCCCAGTGTCCAGGGGATGTAGACACTAGCCCCAAAAACTATACTTAGTAAGTACTGACACAGCAAGGCTTTCTTAGTTTACATTTTAATTTCATAGTCATAATTTCTTAAATCTATTTCTTATTTTTGTTTTGTCATGATTATTAGTTTCTTGCAGTGCCTGGTCATCCTTTGGGTTTATCAGCACCATCAATAACATTGTATTTGTTTCATTAAAAATGTGGTTAAGTAGCTCAGATTTACAAGCAGGGCTAATTCTGAAATTATTTCCACTCTACCCATGACAAAACTTTCTTTTTAATCTTCCTAAATTCTTAACTTTTTTACATGGTTTACAAAATAATCTCTTTAGTAAGGGTACTTACGAGTCAAGGTGTGGGGCAAACACTTCTCATCCTGCTTGTTCAAGTCACTCAACAAGATTTATTGGGTACCATAGTGTTACTGGAACCCAACAGTACTTCTAAAGTTTGGGTCATTTCCATTTAAAGCCCTTTTCCCTCCCCTCAAAAATTTTCGGAGTAATTTGCTGCTTCTCAATATTGCAGGCAGTGCAATGATTCAAAATTATGGGCCATATTAATATTTCTTCACGATTTAGAGTAACTTTGGACTGTAAATATATACTATTAGTTTCTATTTTCAATAGCACCCTTAATGTAATCCCAAATAGACCTTGTAATGTTTCCATTTTAGCATCCCCACAGGACATTTTAAAAAATTCGGAGACAAAATTGTCTTTTGAGGATTCTAAGCTTAATCAAGTAGCGTCTATATTAAAATTATTGTTAACAATTTTATGGACTAAAAAGCATTCGGCACATTCAATTCTGACTTTACCAATAAAAACCTCCCCACCACGACAAGGAAACAGCCCTTCTCGTTTTCTCAACTGAAAAGGGGGGAGGGGGGGCAAGGCCAAATGTTTGCAGGGTTGCATTGAACGGTCTCTGCAAACCCAATAGCTCACGTTTAATTCCAGAATCCCGTGAGTAATCTGTGGACACAACCCTTGGCTTTCATTTATCACTTCGTCCGCCCACCCTCTTAACCAGTCACGCCCAAAACCCCAACCCACCAAAGCACACGTCTAAATATTTCTTCACCAAGAGGGCCCCACCGGGTACACACCGAGAAAAGAGCTGCCCCGGGTAGGAAAAGGCCAGCCCTCCGCAGCCTGGGGCCCAGGCCGGCTCGGCGAGCCCGGCTCCCAGCTCGCCCTCCCCGGGCCTGCTCGTGTCCCCTTGGGCGACAAAACCCTCCCTCCGGCGCACAGCCAGAACTGACAGTTACGGCAGCAGCAGCCGCTGCGACCAGAGGCCTACTTCTGGCACCGGCCCGTCCGGACCACGCGCCCCCAATCACTCCCCCGGCGGGGGTGGGGACGTCCCTACCCCCACCCAAGCCGGCCCCGAAGGGTGGCTTTGGCGACACAGGGGACGAAGGCAGCTGCCGCCCGGCCTCCCCAGCCCAGGGCCCGTCTTCGGCCACACTGACCTGTGGTCGCGCCCGCGCCTGGGCTGTGGCCCTCGCCACAGCGGCCGCCTCACTGGTCGTCGTCGCCCTCGCCCGCCGCCTCCGCCCGCCACCACCTCGTTCCCTTTCGCTGCCGCCACCGCAGGGGCTCATGCGGGACCCGCGCTTCCTTCTCCGGAGATCAAGGCCGGGGGAGGGGATGCCGGGGCCGCAGAAAACCCCGAGCGCGTCGCCAGCCGCCGCTCCGACGCTGCCTGTCCACACCGGGGGGCTGCGCGGCCCGCCTGTTCGCGGCTAGGCTGCGAGCTGCTCCGAGCGCGGCCCCGAGGAGCCGAGGGAGGCGGCGCCGCCCGCGGCCGTGAGCGCCGGGTCGGCAGAGGTGACGCACAAGCCGGCGGCGGCGGGGTGCGCAAGCGAGAGGACGGCGGTGTGTCGAGGGTCTGGCGAAGGGGACTCAGGCTCTGTCGTCTCCTGCAGTCACCCCGAGCCCAGCGCCACCATCTTGGGAAAAACGCGGATCTCGCGGCCGCGGCGCAAGCCGGGAGGACTGGCGGGGCGGGCCGAGTATCCCGGCAGGCAGCGCGCGCCGCCCGGCCAGGCGAGGGATCCGGGCCGGGACGCAGCGACGCGGGGCGGGGCCGGGGCTCGGGCGGGAGACGCAGCGCCCTGCCCCGCCCTCCCTCCCGGCTCCGCCCCCCTCCCGCTTGCCGTCGTCGCCAGCGCAGGGAGCGTTGGGAAGGGGAAGTGACTCGCGGCTCCTCGGAGGCCCATCAGGGTCTGTCGCCATCTTGGGACTGGGCAGAGTGGGGCAATGCCTCCTTTCAGCCACTACTGTTTGCTGCCTGAGAGGGCGAAGAGGGTGCGCACGGGAAACCCCCCTGGAGCCCTCAGGAGTGTTGGAGAGCCCCCAGGTCTATCCAAACGAGGAACGTGTGTAAACTTGGACGCTCTCGGTGTTGTTGGGGGACGAATCGCCTCCGAAAGTATGCCCAGGGGTCTTCGAAGGCCCTCAGCCCCGCGGCGGGGCGGAAGCCTCCAGATGCTAGGTCTCCGACCCCCACCCCTTTTCCGCCCCGAGCTGCCTTTGTAAACACTGCAGACGTAGCCCCAGCGTGCGGGCCTGCTTTCAGGCGACCAAGGTCATCTGCTTAGACTCCTGCCAACACATGATGTGGCACTAGTTTACAAGAAGGTAAAAGCCCATCTCCTGCAATTTTGACATTCGGTAGGTTGTAGATAAAGAGAAAGTGGCCCCCTGGTTGACACCAGCTGGATAGAGGCTAATTTTGATCCGTATGACAAACCCATTTAAAGCCATGCGTCTTTATATTTAGTAGCAAAGTCACCATTTTATTTAAAAGGCTTTTTTCTTAATGGCTCTGCACACTTAACTAGCAAAGTTGTAATGGAATCACTAACAGTTCAATCTTAACAGCTTACACCTTTGCTGATAAGCCCATAAAGTACTACATGGGATCCCATTTATCTAGCATTCAAGCTTTTTATATAAACAATCACAGACACCAATGTGACTTGGTGTCTATTAGCTGTCATTCTTAGAACATACCCTGCTTCCCAACAATAACCAACTATAAAAATCTTAACCAACTATAAAAAATAAGCTAGAGGAATTTAAGCTATTCTAGGACCACTGATGATAAATGACAGTATTAAATCATGTCCAGTTTTAACTCAGTCCCTTATTCTTTTTTCATGTCCCCCATTACAGATCCTCATTTGGAAACTATTTGCAGTTACAGTTTATGGAAGAGACTAAAGTCATTCTTTTAAGGGTTTACCAAATCAGGCAAATAAAAATGAAAATCTTTTAAAGACTTTGTTAGAATAGTTAGAGCAAAATGTTACTACAATATCTAGCATGTGAAGATGTCTTTAGCTAGTCTACTTCCTCGTAAGTAAAAATTGAATAAATGTAATTTTATAATAATCTGGTATTTCAAAATGTGACCGAAATCCCTGAGTTCTAAAAAAATGAAAGACTGAAAAGAGGTAAATCTGCTCTTAGTTAGAAGTGGGAATGACAATTCAATTCCTTTCTAAGACCAAGAAAGGTCCCCCTTGGAATCTGGAGAAATTACCCACAACCCTTCTCATTCATTAGTATTAAATAGATATTCTTATGTGTTGACACTAGTGTCAGATTTGATTCAAGAACCCATTGTGCTCATTGTCTTATCCATTTTTGAATTTCGAAACGTTTGCTGGTAAAAATTATCAGCACGAATACTATCAGGAATCCTTAGAATACTAATAATGTCCCACATATATATCAATTCTTAATAAATTCTTTTTCTCCAAAATTAGACCTCTATTTTTCTTCAGGTGTGTTTTCCCAGAAAAACAACTTAGTATCTACTAAGTACATAGTAAAACTTTTGGACTATTCCAGTCAAAATGAAACCCAGTTTTTTCTAATAATTTTCGAATTTCAGGTGTAGAGTGAAAGTTGTTTAATTTTTTTGTAGCATAATACATTAATTCCTTGAACAAACTGAACTTATATTGGTAATCCAGAACTATGCCAGGCTTTGAGAAAAAAATTAAAGAATACTTCAGTGGTTATGGGAGTACTTACTAATACATACCTTTTGATACTCATAAACTTGTTTTGTTTTTGTTTTTTTTTAAATCATGAAACATTTTGCCCTAAATTGCTGGTGAAGTTGGGCTTTTTTGGTGCTCAAGATTTCTTGTTGATATGAGTCACAGCAGATGAATCAAAATGCAAAAACACAATTTTATATTACCTAGCGTTGCCCTGGGATCAGGAATAATAAACTGAGAGTGTGGAACAGAAGCAAGTCAGATATGGTGGGATGAAAGTTACTGCTGCTGTTTTTAGGTGGCATCAAACTGTTACACACTCAGCTATTGAAAGAGAATGAGCTTTCAGTGTTTGAGAAAGACCGTTGAAGTAAAATTAGCTCCATGGAGAACATTGCCTGGCATAAGTGCTCGGTAAACGTTGGTGCTTAGTAATAGTCCTGGTAATAGTATCATCTGTGTCATTATTTCGCATACACACTTCAGGTGTCAACTCCACACCTCCGCCCTTATTCCTACAGAACTGCCTGAATGTGCACTCCCCGACCGCTTGTCTTAAAATGAACTATCCTTCCTTTCTGCAGATAATATTTTGTGGGGGGTGTTCTTCTCAAAACTCTAATCCCCCTGTTTTCCCCCTCCTGTTCATAATTTCCGTCTACTAACTTTGTCCCTTCTGTTCAGAAGTGTTATCTACACTAGATTGCCATTTGCTTCCCAGTCACTCTTCCACTACTGACGTTTAGCATGTGCCCCCATTTTACTATGTGCATTGCGTGTACTGATGGCAACAGTGGCCTAATGGCCCAATATCAGGGTTGCCTGTCCGTGTTCATGACCTCTAACCTCTACAGCCTTCCTCCTGGAAACAGCCCCCTTGGTCCCTTGGTTCCATCACCCCGCCTTCTCCAGCCTCTCCTCCTATTCCTCAGGCCACTCTCCCTCAAGTCTTCTTTGCAGAACGCTCTCCCTCTCCATTCCTGGTTCTCTTTGCCCACCATATTCCACAGTCTCTAATGGTACCCTTTCCATACACTCGTCACCACTTATTTCAGTCAGGGATCAAGTTTGAACCTCGAACACTGACCTCACTCAGAAACTTCAGACACCTATCTCCAACCCCGTATTGGAAATCTCTACTGAACATTCTACAGGCACCTGAAACTCAACACATCTAAGACTGAACAGCTGCATTTGTCCCATGTGCCACCATTAATTGAGATGTGATAAACTGGAGAGGAGCAGGTTTTGAAAGAACAAAGAATTGGGTTTGGGGAACATGAAATTTGAGTAGATATGGGTAGTAGAGATGGATGGCTAATTGACCCCTAATACGCATTCTCTTCTTCATCCCTCATAATGGAATATATACCCAGACACATGGCTACTTATAATAAACTCTAACTGTGGCCATATCACTAAGCTCTGGCCAGTGGGACATAGCAGAAATGATGTGTGCAGCTCCCAGAAGATACCATGAAAGAAACAGAATGTCCCATTTCTCTTTGTCCCTTTCTGACGATTGGCATGTGGGTGGGGTTGTCAGCTACGCTGGAGGGATCACAGAGCAACAAGGTGGGCCCTTGAGGCCTTCATGGGTCAGAGTCTATGGAGCAGCTTGAGCTGTGGTGTGAGACAGCTACTAACTGCTGTAATCTCCATGGTTATTCCAGGCCCCTTTTACTGCAGCTGACCTTCTGTCCTAAAAGAAATGGAGGAGGCAGTTGGATGTGGGCATGGAGAATCAAACCAGCTCACCCTACAGCCCTTGACTGAGGACTCCCATCTGTGGCTGTCCCTAATGATAATAAGGTCAGTAATCCTAGAGTTCTTTCCGTCGCTCTCCTGGCAATTAGGAGGCACAGTCATATATTTCTTAAAGAATTTGTTTTAGAATTATCATAGCACACTGGTTAAGAGCACAAGCTCCAGATTTATTAGCAAAAGCAGAATTTCCAGGCAAAATCATAAGCCCCTTTCTGATTGAGTTTTCTCCTTGTAAAATGGGGTTGTTGTGAGGATGAAATGTTAATATACGTAAAGCACTTAGAATAATGCTTGGGTGCATAATACAAGCTCAGTAAAGGTGAGCTTTTTTATACCATGCAAACCCCACTTCTGCCACTTACCAGATATAGAACATTCCATTAAACCTTCAATGATCTCTCTGTTTCCTGATCAGAGAAGTATGAAAGATAATAGCGCCGACCTCATGGGGCTCCTGCGAGCCTTCAGTCATGCAGTCAGTACACATTGATTGAATAGATTGACGTACCAGCCCTGGTCTAGGTGGCAAGGATGCAGCAGTGACCAGAGCCTGGCCTCATGGAGTTTCTGACCTAGTGGAGAAAGAAAACCAACAGAATGTGTGTCAGAATGTGACAAGTGTTAAGGGGGAATATAAATTGAGGTGAAGAGAATAGAGAATGCTACAAGAATGAGATCATGCAGATGGCAAGAGACGTCTCATGGAAAAGATGACATCTAAGCAGAGGCTGGGCAGCACCGAGGGAGCGAGCTGTGGGGATAGGAGAGGAAGCGCATTCCGGGCAGAGAGGCCCGAGGCAGAGAGGTGCCCAGAGCCATCTAGAAGCACCCGGAAGGCGCCGTGGCTGGAGCAGGGTGACAGACAGGAGGACTTGCAACGAGCTCAGGGAAGTCAGGGCGAGCTTTGTGCCTGGCGAGCTTAGTGAGGTGGGAAACCCTTGGAAGCGCTGGGAGAGTCACAATAGGGTCTGAGCTACGGGATCGTTCTGACTACTGCGTGGAGACCCGACAGAGATGGCACAGTGACGTGTTTAGTGCCTGACGTAGGGGAAGTGCGCAGTAAATGGTGATGGGTGTTATTATTATTATCATTATGGGCTATTATTGTCACGGTTGTGACAACATCCATTTCCTCCTATATAATCCCACTGCTGCTACCTGAATTTAGACCTTTAGTGCTTTTTACTTGAACTCCCGCGTGAGCTGCAAATGGCCGGGTCAGGTGACCTTACTCATTTTTTGTGTCCCCAACACCCACCAAAACACTGCTCCACACAGCAGTCCTTACCTGCTGGATCTCCTCACCGTGGGGTGTTTCTTAAAGAAACATGGTCTCACTACTTCCTTGCTGGAATCCATCCGTGACTTTTCATAGCTTTCTGGATAATGTGCAAACCCCACGAAAAGGCCCGTTGGATATGGCTGCCTCCCTTCCAGCCCCATCTTCATCCACTTCCCACATACCAGTTAGCAGTCACCTGGGGCCTCTTGGCCTGCAGCTTTTTCCTGCCTTTAGACATGTTCAAAGGGGCCCCTCCTCGGAGAGGCCTCTAGTCTTTTGTGTGGCTGGTGCCTCTGTACCACTTCCCATCGCGTCCTTCGCACACTCTGGTCTCTGTGCTGGGCTCACACTTCCCTCTCCTGTGAGCTCCTTGAAGGAGGAGAGGGCCTTTGACCTGCTGGTATTCCCAGTACCTGTCCCGGTGGTCAGACCTGGCAAAGGAGAGTATCTTTGGTGATTTCACTTTCCCATTCTGCCAAGCACAGATACAAGTTACAGAGATGCCTGCTCGTACAGTTCAGTGGGGACAGAAAAACCAGGCAAATAAATTTACTGTAAGAAATGATAACTTGTTGTGAACTCCAGCAACTAAGTTGGCAATGACATGTAAGATACTCGAATTTATAAAATTAGGATTGAGCAAGAAGACCTATAAAACCCTCTTGAATCGATGACTAACTCGCCATTGAATTTTGCTAATTGCTTCTGTCTCTAAGACTACATAAGAAGTCATTCAATCAAAAACCTGGAAGTCCTATCAAATTATGCCTTGACCTTGGTCGTTTTGGTCTCTCTGTGCCTGCCTCAACCCAGCTGGAGAGGAGGTGGAAAAGAGGCGTTTCATTGCACACAGGCTGCTGCTGCCAATCTCAGCTGTTTGAATAAAACAGTTCCCCTCAAATCAATGAAGCAGCCCTCACAGGCAGTGCCTTCTGACAGGAGCATCCTGGGAGTTCTGTGAAATCATTCACACTGCATCCGTATGTCTGACGCCATTTTTAATACATGTCATCCTGGTTCTAATAGGAATTCTAACACAATAACATTTTTAAATCTAAGGAACTGCACTGGTTAAGTAAAATCTCGATTATTAAAAATAGTTCAGACAACTCTGCTTACTGTGTGTGTGTGTTTGTTTTTTTTTTTTTTAGGATAGCTCAACTAAAGGAAATAGGAAAGGGTCATGAATATATTGGGTTGTCAGAAAAGTCATTACATTTTTTCTGTTTTTCGTTGCAAAAATGCGTCATGACTTTTCCAACAACCCAATAGTTTGCAGTTGACAAGCAATGTTGTATTTTTTTTTACACTAACGGAATACCACATTATCAAAATGACAAAATTTACTCTTGGAATCCTTTTGAGGTTGCTTCAAACAATGTTATACCTAAAACTTGCCTTTTAAAAAAATTTTGCTTTTACTTTTTTGTGACAGTAAACTATCATTATAATATAGAAAGGCCAAAGTTTTTTCAGATAGTAATGTAGATATTACTCAAAACATAAATATTTTATATTGCTTTTGTTTGTTCGTTTCTTTCAGCCAAACATGGTACTGATTGCTTCTGTATTTCAGTACTTAACATAAAGTTCCTGAAATGACAGTTTATTTCCACAAGTTGCATTTATGCACCCATTAAGTGCTAGTTGCTAGAATGTGATCATTAATTCTTACAATAAATTTGGGTGTTATGCATATTATGTCTTAGGAAATTGAGCTTAGAATAAGAAACTTGCCCATGTATCACAGCTAAAACCTAGTAGAGGTCGGATTTAAATCCAGGTGTGTGTGTGTGTGTGTGTGTGTGTGTGTCTTGATGTTGCTCCTTTCCTAGAAAACAATGATACATTCTTTGAATTTCAAAAATAAGTTTCATTGAAATGTTTTGTAACCATGCACTCATCCCTTATACTCATTGCTTCCTGGCAGCATTTTACCAGAATCATAGTCTCTAATAGTTACCCCAACAGAAAGCTCCTTTCCCATCCTGTTCAGTTTACAGCTGGGCTCCTGGGAGCCCCAGCTTCCTCTGCCACCACCCGCTCCAGCAGCCAGTCCAGGTCGTGCGGCGCGCGCCGGGCTAGCTGCTGTCTCCTGGAAGCCTCAATTTCTTCGTCTGTAAAAGGGATGATATTATGATGATTTAAGAGAGGACATTTTGCCAAGGACTTGACTCAGTGCCTGTCACGTAAGTGCTGGGTAAATGCTGATCACTTATTGGGTAAATGGGTGAAATTGTCTTAATTTGGGGTTCCCCCAGAAACAGATATTGAGACAATGATTTGAGTACAAGTAGTTTCTTTGGGAGGTGATCCAAAAGCATGGATGGGGAAGTAAGGAAGTGAGCTAGGGAAGGGTGATAACCAATAAAGGGTGCTTTGTCCATCAGGTGTCTGCTGTGGGTACCTGGTGATTCACGCTGCTGAGGAACGCGGGGCCGGTGACGGCACCCACCTCACCTTCTCTTGCGGGAGGGAGAGGGAGCGCTTTCCCCTGACTCTCCCAGTGACGGCCACTCACACTGCTGGCAGGTGTGGTGGTGCGGCAGCTCCAGCTGTAGGGAAAGCCCAAAGCAGGGAAATGCGGGTGCCAGCAGTGGGCACGAGGAAAGGCAGTGTGCCATTGGCGAGACCAGGTCGCCACAGCCTCTGCTCCACGCGGGAACGCACAGGCGCATGGAGGCTCCGCAGGCTTCCTGTTACTCCTGAGCCTTCTGATCTTCCGCAGCTGTTCCACCACCGGGCAGCATGATTCAACAGGAAATGAGCTCCTTTCCATATTTTCCTATTAACACACGCTTGCCACCAGAGAATGGGATGAGAATGAATGGGGTTTAGGGTTCTGGAGCTCCGTGGAGCCCCCTGGGCAGGTGTCTAGACTCACCCTGCTTGTTGCACCAATGGGCCATGCGTGCGCACGTACCAACAGCACACGGAAACGTCACTCTGGTCAAGCAGCTTACCATATGTTACAAATCCTGTCCAGCTTGCTCCCTACAGCTGCTGGGAGCACAGCAGCAGTCAGAGCTAGTGGTGCAGAATTGCTCACATCTCTAACACTCACCTGGGTGCTTTGCTGACTTTCAGCTCCACGCAGAGTCCCGAGCAGCAGATCTGAGGTGGAGCCCCTGAAACTGCACTTTTAACAAGCACCCAAAGTGTGCAGAGCTGTTAGTGAGCAGTGTCAGGAAGGAGAAACGGGCATGACTGCAGAAGTGAGGACAAAGACAAAGTGTGGAGAGACTGCAAGGAAATGAGTTGTACTTCCTGCTGGGGGCAGTGGTTAAGATCTGGCTGTGGGAAGTGGTTAGTCCCCAGGGTTCTCTCCTCCTTGGGGCACATCTACCACCCACAGCAGGGCTGAGGCAGGTGGGGTCTTAACCCTCCACATCGCTGGACAGATTAGCTAGGACGTCCATGGTATGTGCATTTACACCAAAAGAAGAAATCACTTGAGCACAATTCTTCCTAAATCAAAAATAACATACTCAATTATAGATCATTTTAGAAGTAGAAACATTAAAAGATGACACATAAATTATCCCAATAAATGTACTAAGTGGGACAAAAGAGAAAGTTGGCAATATAAAACAAGAACAATAAAAGCCTGAAAGAGCTAACCAGGAGTATTAGGTATCAAAAATAATAAATACTTAGATAAAGAATACGTTCATTGGGATGAGTAGCAGAATAGATGTGTCTGAGGAGTGAATGAATAAATTAGAAGACAGACTGAGGAAATTTTTTGCAAGAAAACCCCCCA